TCTCTTATACACATCTAGATGTGTATAAGAGACAAGTACTGCGCATCTCAGCACGCTCAGCCTGGGAGGCTGTCAAAAGGGGGAGGAAGGGGGGGGGGGGGGGGAGGTATGAGAGGTTGTTGGCTATTCATCCTGGCCGGCGAGTCTCCGCTGTGCCATGATTCAGGGGTGGAACGTAAATGAATTTGATGTTTTCATGGGATGCACCTATTTTGGCTGGCACCAGCACCTATTTTGCTCCGGAGACCCAAAAAAAAAAAATTGCTCCGGAGTCCGAGCCCTGAACGTTGAGGCAGCATGCAAGCTGCAACTCAGGTAAAAATAAAAAGAAAAAAAAGAAAAGAAAAAAAAGGAAAAAAAAAAGAAGCTGGGAAACGTACAGGTGGTTTAATGAACTTTAATCATTTTAAGTTGGCATTTCAGTGAAATTTACATTTCGATGACATTTGAGTAATTGATAATAATATTAATAAATTAATAATTATATTTTTGAAGGCCACTTTTGTGTGCCTCGCTGTACTGATGAAGCCATCACATTGCTTGTGTTTATTTGCTCCCCCCCCCCCCCTCCTCCCCTAAAACAAACAAAAAAAAACAGGTTTTTGGCTGCCGCGAATTCGGATGGGGATCTAAGGAGGAGCTAATTCAGCAATGGATGAATGACAGTGCCACGAAGAGCAAATTACTGGACCCGTCTTTGAAAGCGGCCACAGTTGCGGGGGTCGATGGCGCATGGGTGGCTGTTCTTTCCCCATCGACAGGGGACTTGATGGGAGGGGTGCTGCTCAACCCCCAGGTCCACCACGACGGATGCTTCACAGGTTCCTGGTACGATTGCAATGGCATGACATCCCACCAACAAGGGCGGGGGACTGCTGCTGATTCGCTATTGTGGTGTGGTCCCCACTTATGTCAACACCTGCTCAACCTTCTTGCCGGTCTTTTCACTGCCCATATGTGGGTCTTAGGGTTTCTATTAGTAGTCGTCTACCGGCTGGCGATGGAGGTTGCTTTCATGGTGTCATAGCTGTGGACAGTGTGGAGCAAGAAGGGAATTGGTGATTTGCTGCCCATCACTTCGATGGTGTTTGATTAATAAGTTAGTGACAGTCAGTCATGGTCCCATGGATGGACCCAAAAAAAAAATAAATCCATTTTTGGATTGTCAATGATGGGGCTTTGGAGTTCTTACAGTGTGGCACTAAGTTCACCACCAAGATTTGGCAATCTACAAAAAAAAAAAAAAAAAAAAAAAAGGGCACTTCTGAAGTTCGGATCGAGGATCATCAATTATTGGTGATCCATCAAGAGGTACTTTATGATCATTATGGGAAAAAAAAAAAGAAAAAAAAGAAAAGAAAAAAAAGCAAATCACCATTGATCAGTTAGTGATTCATCTGCCAATCATCGGTTCGACGGTTACCCATTAATTGGTTTTATTTTTTTTTTCCGAATTTGCGATTAGTTAGTAATCTGATTGGAGATTGGGATGTAGCATTACGATGACCAATCAGAAACACGAGATCGGGAGCAGCATTTGTCTTATCTCAAGTTCCTAATACTTCCTATTCCGACATGGACACTCGGTGCCATGTGGAAACAGCAAAGGTGCCATGTGGAAATGGCAAAGGCAGGAATGCAAGGGTAGGAGAGTGAAGTGGGAGGAAGAAGGGGGGACAGGAGAGGGGTATAGAAAGACAGCAAGTTGTTGTTGGCTTTTTTTTTTTTTTTTTTCTTTTTTTTTTCAGAAAGAGTTAGGTGGCAGTTATTATGGGCTACAAGTGACAACCGCAGGCGACTCACTGCACAGCATTCTAAATGTATCTGGACCTGGAAGTGGTCCCTGTCCATTCAAAATGCTCCATCAGTCGGAAGGTCGAGATATGTGTCCAGTGTCGAGCAGTGGAACCAGGACCATATTGACGCATAGGATAGGACAATTTGTATAGAAGGCGTATATCGTCTGTTTATAGACCATGTACAGAACACATACGAATGAGTAATTTTGCAGTGATAGCTAGCTAAAGATACTTATGCAGGTGACAACACCAGAAATTCTTAGTTGCGCTTCCGCAAGAAGCGAATGCTGGCGTTGTTTGTCGGTACTGAGTTTGGTTCCCAGTCTTTCGTCCTGAGGATCAGCACTATAGATTAGCACTATAGCACTATAGATCAGGTCACACAGATCTATGATGGCGATCGTTGTCAATTTCTAACTCAGTAGTTTGTACAATGACTTAGCTACTTGTGTAGAACCGTCAGCGTAGAGTCGTAGATAGTAATTTCCGGCGAATTCGATCAGCGTCTTGTGATTATAATTGATTGAAACTATTCTTTGAAACTCATTACATGCATCTAATGATCCCGGAAGATAACCGATGAAGGATCAACCTGTGCACTATATCGCTGATACAAGCACTGGCAGGGACGACTCGAGCAGGGAGGGAAGGTGGGTGGAGCCCCTAGCAGGAAGGGAGGCCCCCTGAGAAGGAAGGGAGGCCCCCTGAGAAGGAAGGGAGGCCCCCTGAGCAGGAAGGGAGGGCCCCCTGAGAAGGAAGGCAGGCCCCCTGAGCAGGAAGGGAGCCCCCCTGAGCATAAAGGGAGTGTTGATAGCTTGCCCCCAGCAGGAAGAGAGCCCCCCTGAGCAGAAAAGGAGGGCAGACGCCTTGCCGAGCATGGAGGGAGGCCCCC